GCCGCTTGGGGCGGCAAAAACCCTGGAGCCGGCCCTGATCTGAAATGGATGGTTCCAAAGAGCATATTTGTTTGTTTCTTGAAGGCCTGCTCTTTTCTTCTCCTAGCATCTACATCATGGTCTTTCCCCAAATCCTGGATCTTCCAGCTTCATGATTTGCTGGAAGATCCACATGAATCCCAGGTGAAAAATGTAGGTATTCGATACATGCCCACCCAAGTGCATTTCTGTTGATACAGCTGTATTTCTCTTCCCTCTCCCCTTCTTTCTTGATGTTACAGGCTTACTATGCCAAGCCACTTTTCTTTCTCAGCAAGCCCTTTAAGTTTCCTAGGTCCAGCTCCACCTGGGCTGACCACAAAAGTCTTCAGAATAAAGTTCTCAAACATAAAAACCTAATAGCCAAAGTCCTCCCTCCCTGTGATTTTTGGGGTCGAGGGAGTTCCATCCCTCTTCCACAGCCTGGAAAGGAGAATCAGGGTCACCCCTTTTCCTCCTGGGGGTATGAAGATCCCCTGGCAAAGACACAGACTCTCTAGGTCTCTCCCTCCTCTCCCTGCCACACCTAGTGAAAGCAGGGAGCCCTTTGTGCTGTTCTTCCCTCTCTGTGGTGTATCTTGATTGGTTTGGTGAGTGAGTGATTGATAAATAGAAAGGAGACCCTTTTCCCACCCTAAACCACAAGGCTCTTGTCCTGGGCCGTTAAAGAAATAGTAACCTGCTTTACTCCTAGGCACTAACTGTCCCACCCTGGGACCAGTTCATCTCTCCCAGCATCTGTCTCTGCCATTTCTAAGGCCTTCATCTGCACCAGAATTCCCGGAATAGGGTAGTCTCACCTTAAAGGACCAGTATACCCCATTACACTCAACGTTATGCATTTTTGATCATTTTCATCCTCATTGTATTCCTTGGCATCCACTTATGGGGTAATCTGATCCAGTGTTCAGGGCACAACACTGGGAGGCAGAAGACTTGAGTTTAATTCCCAGTTTTGCCACTTACAGCCTATATGACCTTGATCAAATTTCTCAGCTGATTTATGCCTCAGTTTCTCCATTTGCAGAATGAGGACAATGATACTAACCAATCTTTGAAAAGTCCTGTGGAATCAATCATTTGCCATTTTTCCATATCCCTCCTATTTTATTTCTCTGTAAGTTTCATTTTCTAACCTACTGTCTCTCTTCTCTGTTTGATTTTTTTTCCTTTGTGCCTTTTCTTTACTGTCATTCTTTGTCATTACTTTGTTCATTTATCTGCTTCTCAAGTCTTCGCTCTCCCATATCAAGGGTTAAATCTTTCCACTTATATCCTACCAAGACCAGTTATGTACGCTGGATGAGAGTCAAACTTAAGAACTAGAATTACGGTCCAAACTAAAATTTTTGCCAGTCTCTTGGACATCTTATAGATGTCCAGGCAGCTCAAGCTCAACATGATTAAAACCTCTCTTTAAACTTTCCCTCAAGCCTTCCTCTCAACCTCCTTTCTCAGTCACCATGGACACCACCACTATCCTGTCTGTCACTGAGGCCTATAACCTGGACATTATCTTTAACTTAGACCTCTCACTAGATCCTCACATCCAGGCTGTCTCTAAATTTTGTTGATACTTTAGGCAGAATATCTCTAAGATACCACCTTTCCCATCCATTATCACCCACATCTGTCTCGTCTTGGTTTCTTCCTCTCTTCCAGCACTGGCCTCTGCCACTTCCCAGGCCCCCTCAATTACTGCAACATCTTTTTTCTCTTTTTCCACTCCTATCTATTCAGTATGATGCTGCAAAGATCATTCTCCTAGCCCATCACTTTGACCATATCACCTCTCTCTTAGAATCCACTGGCTCCCCCTTCTGATCACTTCAGACATAAGCTGCTTGTTTTCACTTTCCAGGCTCAATGGCTTATATCCACCCTACCTATCATCTCTCATTTGCTATCAAAATGTTAACTCTTCCCTTCAGAAGGACCATTGTGCCAACCTCCATCACCCACTTCTTAAATTTTCAAGCAAGCATCTTCATGCTTTGTCTCAGACTACCCATCACACTTGGGAGGAGCTCCCCATAAACATCTGGAAAGCCAATTTATTTTTCTGCTTTAAATCCTTCCTTAAAACTTTCCTTTGCCTTTATGCCAACAAAAAAACACAACAGTCATGCCACTGGTGTGCTGATACCACAGCCTATCATGCTGACCAATGTTGTTTCACTGTTTACTTGTAC